ATCGTAATGTAAATATCTGATATGCAGGATGTATTTTCATTGTTACAAATTGAACAATTAAAGCACAGTGATTCAACACACAAACTATGTAATTATATATTGTGAAATATTTATTTCTAGTGACAAATAAATGAAATTTTGTCTTGAACCATGGTGTAGCATGGGTCACAGTTTTCACACTGGGTACTTGTATGTGGGCATACCTGCATGTGGGCAAACCCACCTGGAGACGGATAGAGGAGCAGTGTCTTGGTTCGTAAGACCATGGGAAATAAGTGTTTTCCAGTGGTCTTAGGCGACCCACAGGTTGAGAACCGCTGATCTATATGGATCAAGAAGAACTCTGGTGGCTTGGGGGGTTCCATTCTGGGTTGTTAACCAAAAAGTCAACAATTCAAAGTCATCAGCTACTCCATCGAAGAAAAAAAGGCTTTCTGCTCCTGTAAAGAATTACAGCTTTGGAAACCCACAGGGGTATAGTTCTATCCTGTCCTACAGGGTCACTATGAGTCAGAATTGATTCAATGGCAATGAGTTTTATATGGGACCAAATTAACAGCAGCAACTTGAAAGATTGAATAGGAAACTTTGGAGCAGTAAGTTTATATTAATGGGGAAGGAATAATTCAGAAAAGGAGAATGGTTGCACGTGAAGAATGTAATGAATGTCCCCGAGTTGTACATATTGAAATTATTGAATTGGTGTATGTTCTGAGGTGTATATTTTCAACAGTAAAATAAAAACAATGTATTTGTGGGGGAAACGAGGGGCTAATAACAATGTGTACAGGAAAGAAGAAAATGTTCTAAAATCGATTGTAGTGATGATTGTACAACTCTTCTTGGTATGACTGAACTATTGGATTGCATGATACATAGATTATGTGCCCATAAAATGGTTTATAAAAAATATATCTCTATGATAGTATTTATCACATTATAATAAGTTGTATATCTGTTTTGCTAAGCTTTTCAAATGTCACAAAAAGCCCAACTACTTTTTAACAGTTTTATTAGCACTTTATCCACATACCATAAAATTCCATTATATCAAGAAAAGTTGTAAAATTGTCATCATATTCAATTCTCGAACATTTTCGTCTTCCTTGTAGTGATGGTTATTCGTGTAACTTCTCCAATTGTGGCAAAACTATACACAACAAAACATCATTTCCACAACTTCTACTTGCATAATTCAGTATCACTGATTATACTCTCCATACTGTACAGCCACTATTGATATCCTTTTCCAAAGTATTCTACCACCAATGTCCCCACACACAACAGCTCTTTCAAAAGTGGGACTATTTTTAATGTAATCTTGAATCTCCAGAGCAGAGCAAGGCCCCTCGTAGATGCTCATTAAATGTTTATAATAATTAAAGCCAAAACAATCCTGCTTCCCTCTCTTTTATCCATGCCATCTGGGCAGATTCATGCGCAATTCCATTTGGGAATGTTTTTAATAGGCCTCAGAGACCCAATTCTCTCCCTTGGATGGAGGGCCCCTAGGAACCTCACCCACAAGGTACTGTTGCAATCCACATGGGCTAACTGCTTTTCCTGTCACCCGGTACTATGCCTGGATGGCTTCATCACACCCGCTATGTGGCCCTCCCACTCTAACCCTGAAGCAACTGTGACTAAAAACAAAGTTCCCTGAATTTACAGTTGATGGTGAGTGGTCACAAAGCCCTAGGTCGTCATCTTTTTGTTAATTCCTGAACTGGAGAAACGGTGAGTTTAAAAAAAAAACCCAAAACCTTACTTTCACAGAACCAGGCGATCGACCAGTACTATACTCTAAAACAGCAGTCCCTGCTTCTTCCTGAACAGAGCTACAGCCTGCCTAGAAACCCTTCTGCTTATCTGGGTGACTCTGGATCTGCTCCCTTCCTGTTTAATGACTAAATCGTTCCTAAAACACTTTTGGAGAATGGGATTGTAAGCAGGATTTTGTAGCAGCTTTCCTCCTAGAGGGCTGCTGCATTTCCTTATTTTAGTTCAGTGTCACACACTTTGATTACTATCCAATCTAATCAGGGAATTTCCCTTATCAGGGAACTTAAGGAGCAAGCTATTGAGGTGGGATTTTCTCATCTCCCCCCACCCTTCCTTCAAATTCATATCAGCACACAGCCAAGCAAACTATGAAAGGGTTATCCTTGCACTGGCAAAGTATGTGCTGGAATATATGAAATATGACTTCAAGTGCCCTCTTCTCCAAACATATTTTTGGGACTCGATGTCTTTGAAATTCCATATTAGTATATTCCATTCCTGAGCTCCCTCCTGAAATATAAAATCCCTCAGAAGAATTAACGTTTTAGGGTAATTTATACCTTATAGGGCAAGTCCAGATCCTTCCTTAAAAACAGGGTTTTTTTTTAAACATTTTATTAGGGGCTCATACAACTGTTATCGCAATCCATACATACATCAATTGTGTAAAGCGCATTTGTACATCATTCTGAAAACATTTTCTCTCCACTTAAACCCCCGACATTAGGTCCTCAAAAACAGGGTTTTGTTAAGGAACGAGCAAGAAAAAGAAATCAAAGGAACATCCAGAACAGAGAGAGACAGAATACCGCAAAGATGTAGAAAATGGCAATGAATAATGACCATTTGTTAAAAATGACCCAAACCCTACTTTTATACCACTTTCTCTAGGACTGGCTTTGTAAATAGGAAAGTAGTTGCTGGGGGACAAGAATCGAGGTTTCTGATGGGCACTGCCCAATGGCTGGATATACTAGAGGCTAGATAAAGTCAGTAAGAACACAGTCAATAAAGTGGTAGTATGAAAGGTCCCTGGGTAGTACAAACTGTTACTGTGCAGGCTGCTAACTGAAAGGTTGGCGGTCTGAGACCATCCAAACTGCCTCTGAAGAAAGGCCCGGCACCCTACTGCCAAAAACCAGCCACTGAAAAATCCCATGAAGCACAGTGGTTCTTTCTACTGACACACATGGGGATCACCATGATTTGACCACAAGTGGTTTATGAAATGCTCAAGCTGCACTCTGAGGGTTAAAGTCTTTATCAAATTTTGAGAATCTTAGGGGCTTCGAAAGTCACCATTGAAAAGCAGGTACAGGGTTCCTCGGGAGAGCCATCATCTTCAGGGATAAGGAACCGTCACATAATCTGAACAGGCAAACCATGAACCAGACAGAAGACAGGTCTCAATTCCTCACATAAGCACGAATACCAGTAACTGTGCCAAGCCAAATGATTCACCATTAAAAGTTCTTTCCTGCCCACAGAGGGGAAAAGGTTTGGTTTTGTCTATTTGGCCATTTCCTAGGATACCCAGAGTAAAAGTGGTGTGAGTGCGTGTGTAGGAAGGTGAATGATGACAAAGAGCGCATTATCTTTGCGTCTCATAGAAGACAACAAACAGCACAACAGTGTGTGAGCCCAGAAGGGACACCGGATGGAATGAGAGACAAGAGAATGGTGGGAACACAAAAAACACAATGGCCTTTGGAGGCACACCTCCCCAAACCAAGCACTTGCTGTCTCATCTCTGATATTCCTGAATGAAAAACAGAGTAGGGTAATTGTGAAGACTTATAGCTTGAGTATTTTTTTAAATGCACATTTGTAATTAAAATGAAATGTCATGGTAGGACACACTGGAATCGAAGGGGAAAAGACGGATGTCCAATAGGAAAAATCCAACTGGCTCCAATCTCCAATTGGAGGGGTGGGGGTGGGGGTGGGGGTGGGGTAAGGAGGTCAGCAGGCCACTAAGTTTAGGAGGAGGTGGGGACTTTTCTCTGCCTTTAGGAAGTTTAACCCACATTCCTTTTCACTACTCATTCTTTTCCCCAAAGAGCCAACGGTCTAGTAGCACAGAAACCTGGGGCCCTGAAGAAGTAGACAAAAAACAAGGGGTGATGCCAACCTCCTGGAATGGCATTTCTCTCCCAAATGCTGTCCTCAGTGTTAACAGCTCCTATTTTCAGGCGTGGCTCCATTAACTCCATTACCTGCCTGGGCAATCCCCAAATCTAAGTTCAACAAAAGTTTCACTAACGGTGGTCAGATGGGCTCTTGATGGCTCGTTTCCAGTGCAGATCATGGAATTATTAGATTCCCCACTTCCTCAAGGTACAGTATTCTCCCGGGCAGCTTAGCTTTTTCACAACGTGACACAGAAGGTTAAGAAAAAAACAGAAATCGGGCAGTTCAAACCAGCCAAAGGGCCAAGTGCCGAGTTGGAGGAGCCAGCAATCACAAAGACAAGAGTACTTGAGTGTGCATTCCCCATCCTGGGAGTAACGAAAAACTTCAAATCATTACATCCCAGCAATAATCGTTACAAAAGAGTGGCTATTCCCCAAAGCCACAGCTGCCTGCACAGCTCCAGCATTCCCGGTGGCTCTCGGGCCCTGCCCTTTACTCGTCTAAAAACTAAAGTCTCCTGCCCCGGCCTCAGTTCTGCCCCCCTGAACCCCAATCCCTCTCGGCTCAACTCAGGGGCTCCTTCCGATTATGTTCACAGTGGCCACTTTCCTAAAAACAATGTCTCCTACCCACCTAAGAACCCCTCCGCTGGCCCTTCGAAATAGACATCTCGAGAGAGAGCCCGTGCCTGCCGGGGTTCCCCCCGGGGCCTGGGGCATCAGGATGACCCCTCACCTCCCGGTAAATGGGCTTAGCTCACCCCTGCCCCGTCCCTTCCCCTCAGCTCCTCCCTCTCCGGCGCTGCCCTCCCACCAGCCCTGGGCCTCCGCGCCCCGGCCCCGCGCCCGCTGCCCCCGCACCCGGCCGCCTCCCCGCTCGCCAACTTGGGGCTCCCCGCCCGCCCGGCCCCCTCCTCAGCGCCCCCACTAGGCCTGCGGGGGCCCGGCCCCCTTCTCCCGTCTCCAGTGGGACACTCCACCCTCTCGCTGAGTCCCAGACCCGCCTCCTCTCGCGGGCCCGGCCGCCCTTATCTCCCCGGCGCGGCGCCTCCGCCCCTGCCCTTGTGGGCTCCACCAGCCTTGTACCTGGGGCTCCGTCTCCCCCGTCGGGCCCAAGCCTGTGTCGAACAGACAAACAGCTGCAGCTCAACCAAACCCTCCTACCCCTCCTCCTCCTCGCCTTGGGGCGGGGGCCCCCAGCCAATAGCACGATTACCCGCCTACCGCCGAGGGTGGGCAATATGTGCACTCACCCGCCAATCCCCTGGAGAAAGGGCGGGCTCTTTCGGCGCCGCCACCAATGGGTACGAACAGGGGATTGAACGAGCCAATAGATGGCGAGAAGCCCTGAAGATCGGCAAGTTGAGGAGCCATTCAAGAGCAAGCTCCATGACACAGGGGGCGGCACCCCGGAGACAAGCGTGCGCAGTAACCAATAAACTCCCGACACCCCATGACCCCGCCTTTTGACTCATAAACATCTAATCAGGTGAGTGATGGAGGCGGGTCCGAGTGAAACTTTAACCAGTACTGTGACAATGCTAGACTTGACAAGCAAGGGAGGCGGGGCTCAGAGAAGCCCACGGAAGGCCGCTAATGACCTTCGCCCCCTCCACTGATTTGGGAGGGGGTGGGAGGGGAGTAGATGCTGGTGCGGAAAGGGAAATACTTCTCCCTGGGACCTAGAGGCTGGGGATTAAAGTGATCCTCAAGTCAGTGCTGCCCCGCCTAAGACAGAGGACAGTTTTTGCCAGAGGCAGTCCGAGCTGTTTTCTGCTAGGGTGAGACAAAAGGCAATGAGGACAAAAGGTAGCTTGGAGAAGTAAGCTTAGCCCCCTTCAAAATAATATTGACAATTGATATTTTCTGAAATGTATTACATATGAATAAAAGTTGTTAGTGATATAGAAGAAAAAGCAAACGCAGCCAGCACTCTGAGAGATGCAGACTTCCACACTTTTGAAGTGAGTGAGTGGGGAAGATGGAGAAAGTGATGTGGGAAATACATAGGTTTTGAAAGTTCTCCCTACCATGGGGTTATGCTACTTAATAGCTATGAGACATGGGCAATTACTTAACGTCTCTGAGTTTCAGTTACCCCATCTGTAAAACGGGAACATTAATACTTTGTCCACTCTCACTGCTCTCTTAACATAGGAGACAAAATGGAGCGCGGTGTGGGCAATCCTGCAGAGAGAGATTTGGGTCTGAATCCAGTTATCACACGGACACATTCACATTTTCTGTCACATACACGCTTCCAGTAAAAATAAACAAGAGCAGAGGAGGAAAGAAAATGAACTATACAAAACTAGTCATTCTTCTTTCTTTTTTTTTTTAATGAATTACAAACTAAATTACAAAATAATGTTAATAGCAAGAACACTCAAGAATAAGGGGGGGAGGGAAGCAAGAAAATCATAAAAAGAAATATTTTTTTAAACATTCCCATTACAAAACCCCAAGGTGCGCATGGCAACAAATCCCCCTCACCCTACCCCCACTGACTTTAAAAACGATTATAACTTGAAATATAAATATAATTGTTCATCCTTCTTTTAAAGAAATATTTATCCCAGGGCTGTCGCTCAGTTACAGCCCTGAAAAAGTGTCAGCATCCTCAAAATGATGGCTAACCCAATGACCTCTAAAGTTCCATTCCTGGGCAGAGGAGTGGCTTCCTGAGGAAGATGAGAGCAGGAATCTCTGACGACTGAAAAACTAGGATTCAAACCTCTCTCAACTGCCTCATAAGGGCCATAGGTGATTCCATACAAACCCTATCCCAGAGAATCCCAGACTCCTCTTGGCCGGAGGAAGAGCAGACATGGGGGTTGGGAGCAATCATTTCTACTTACAGCCCCATTGGAGTTAGGTCTTGAGTCTCCCAGCCTGTTAGGTGAGGTGCAACATTAAAATGAGGGTATAAACTGGTTGCATCTATTTTTCCCCCACCTAATTCCTTAAAACAGACCCCTCTATTTTGTCTTTGTCTTTTCCTTGGTTTCAAAAGTCCCACCTTTGCCCCCTACTATCAGATGGCCTTACAAAAGCACTGACAGCAGGAAGGGGGTGGGGTGGGGCTAATACTCCTAAACACAGGGAAAAAAAAATCATTATGGGACATTCAGAAATGGCTTGGGCTAGCAAGCTCTATGTAGGGTCAGCTGGGAAGAACTGATCTAATTTTGGAAACTGGCCCTCCTCAGCAATGCTGAGAGGAGGAGGAGGAGACTCCGGCTGACTTAAGTGCATCAAATACTGAAATTCTCTTTCATTTCCTTCCATCCTTCTCTCCCTCCCCTCCTCTCCTTGCCCCTCTCTGTATTCCCAGAGCTGGCTGGCCAAGAGGGTAAGGTTAAGTGTTAAGGCAGTTAGACAAGGTCAGAGGGCCCACCTGAGTCCAAATGGCCCAGGGCCAAACCAGGCACACAATGGAGGAGAGGGCGAGCCTGAGGGTAGGGGTTGAGGGGAGGACATCAGAGTCGAAGGTGGGGTACTGGCTTGGTCACATCCTGGAAGAATGGGTGAGCCAGCGCTGCCTTTGCTGAAATGCGCTTGTTGGGGTCATAGTGCAGCATTTGCTGGAGAGAGAGAGAGAGATGTATACCAACTTCAGTCGATAAAACAGTGGACAAGGTGAGCAGTGGATATTCAGAGAAATTAAGAAACCAGAATTTGATTTATCCAAGGCAGGGTTCCCATTTCCTGTCACCCACATCCAAACTCTCTCAGGGTACTGAGAGGGGCTAAGGAAATGCTGAGATCCAGAGCCTAGAATTTCATTCTTCCTTTACATTGTAGCAAAACTCTGCCCTATGTATGTGTGGTGGGACAGGGGTGCACTGAGGGGAAGGCAGAGGAGGAAAGGAGAGGAAATGGTTCCCCACCCTCCACTCTTACCGATAACAAGCTTCGTCCATCTTCATCCAGGGGTGGCACAACTTTGCTAAAATCTTGCCGGGCCCACTTGGGGAAACTCGCCTTATAATCAGGCATAGAAGTAACTCCTGGCCAAACGGCTTCATCTGGGGTCCCCAGAGTTCGGAAGATCCGGAAGAGTTGGTCGATCTCAGAATCCCCAGGGAAAAGGGCCCGGCGGGTCACCTGAGAGTGAGGAAAGGCAAGGCCAAGACCCACAGTGACGTCAGTCAAAACCGCTGCCTCCTATCCAGAGGAGGTTCCCACAGGCAGTGGAAGGTCAGCAGGGCCCCATGACTCTCCCCCCACCCAGGGCCTTTAATGGGGTCAGTCATAGATCGCCTGAGACAATGAAGTCCCTTTATCTGGCTCCTTGCCCCCTCCTTCCTTCCCCCAACTCTGGCTTTACAGATTTCCCCAAGGCTGGATGGGGCTGGGAGGGGGTGAATGTCTGGGGTGGCACTGACATGTAACAAAGGGATCCCAAGCCACTCACGGGGTGTGGGGTAGACACTTCGGTCATCCCCCCTCCTTGTGATGCAGCCACTTCTAGATAGGAGCACAGCGGGCACAGACTGTGTCTTCCATTTCTTCTGTGTTCCCCACAGCACCCACCATAGCGCTGGGTACACACTAGGTGCTTAACAAATATTTGTCGATGAATTGAGAAAGGAATATGGGCAATCATAAGGAAATGCACTAGGGGAAAATGTACAATACTTATATTGGCTAATGGTCTCTTAAGCCCCCAGTTACGACCCAGATAAAAGACCAAAAAGCAGATTGCCGATTGGATGTGAAAACTCAGCCCACTTCACTGGTGCATCGAAGGGGGTGGACATACCTACATAGAGCTTGACCTCAGTGATTCTTCAATCTGAAAACTCAGAGATGGAGGGGACACGTGAGCTAAGGCTCCAGTTTAACTACAGGCCAAACGAAGATGGAACTAAATGGAACTCATTCTCCCAAACGTGTAGAAAACCAAGTCAATTCTGTAACCCTACAGGACAGAGAAGAACTGTCCCCTGGAGTTTCAAGGCTGCAAGTCTTTAGGGAAACAGATGGTCGGTCTTTCTGCCTTTGAGAAGCTGATGGGTTTGAACCACCAACCTTTTGGTTAGCTGCCAAAAGCTGAACCACTGCCCCACCAGGGCCCCAATAGATGCAGACTGGCACTAAAATAGCTGCAGACATAATTTAGCTTATTTTAGGGCTTAGAGAGGCATACTGGATGGTAAGGTTGTTTAGGAATAGCCTAACATTCTGGCTGACAATCAGGGGCAACAGTCCTATCTTGGTATTACTCTAGAGAGATCTCCAAGGGAGAAAGAAGGGTCATGGGTCTCAACCAATAGTTAATTCTGTCACTCTTGGACATGGGGAGGAGTAGGCTGCATGGGACTTGGGCATGCCCACCTACCATCTCTGCAAAGATACAGCCCAGGCTCCAGATGTCCACAGCCGTGGAGTAGTATTTGCATCCCAGAAGGATTTCAGGTGCACGGTACCACAGGGTCACCACCTGTTGGGACAAGAGCAGCAAGGGAGGGGGTGGTGTGCCGGGCATGCAAGTCCCTCATCTCAGCGCTCTCCAAATGCTCAGCCTCCTAAGAAGAAGCTTCTTTCCGGCCACCCTTCTCCCTTCGACTTTCCCTAAGAAAGCTAATAACATAGAATTTCTTAGCCTACAGCGAGCTCCTAAACCCCCAATTTGCGACTTTTCTGGAAAATCTGAGGTAGATAGATAGTTATAGTGAAAATCCCATGGGGTATCAGAGAGCCTTCCCTTTCACCAAGAGAGCAACTGCTGGGCCAGATATTGCTGGTAAGCCTGTCGATGCCCTTTGTTGCCACCTCTGCAAAACGCAGAGAAGAAAAGCCAAGAGGGACTCACCTCGTGAGTGTACGTCCGAACAGGGACTCCAAAGGCTCTGGCTAGTCCGAAATCCGCGAGCTTGATGGCCCCCTCCGCATTGATAAGTAGATTCTGGGGCTTGAGGTCTCGGTGCAAAACCCGATGAGAATGGCAAAAGGCTAAGCCCTGGAGCAGCTGGAACAGATAGCTCTGACAAGGGAGAGAAAGAGATGGCTGTATGTCTCCAAAAGTGAGGAGATTAGGGCACGCTCTATGCCCACACAGCTTTTGGTACGTTCGATTTGAGTTACATGTTCTTGTGTTGTTGGTTTGTGATATTGGAGAGACATCCCCCTACCCCCACCCCTCCTCTGCTCCAGTAGGGTTTTCTTGGCTGCAATCTTTATGGGGGCAGATCATCAGGTCTGTCCTGTGCCACTGGGGAGGTTCCAACTACCGATGTTTTGGTTACCAGCCAACTGCAAACCATTTGGATCACCTCTGGCTCAGAATTACATGCTAGCAATGATTTCTCCCTTTGGGCTTTAAGTCCAGTGAACCTAAGGACCAGGTTTTATCCAGTTGTGCCTCCCCTTTCCATATCTTGGGCCTAGCACAGAAAAGGTGCCCGGTAAGTGTGCACTGAATAAAACCCCAAACGGAACCAGTTACCATGGAGTCACTTCCAACTCGCAGCAATCCTTTCCCGTGTTTCAGAGTAGAACTGCACATCAGGTTTTCAGTGGCTGTGGCCTTTGGCAAGTAGATCGCCAGGCCTTTCTTCCACAGCACCTCTTGGGTGGACTCTTAACAGCCAAACTTTTTGTTAGTAGCCAAGCTCTTTTAAGAGCTAGTGCACGTGTTAATTTGGGGTCAAAAGGTGAAGACCCCAAACTTAGAACAGGAAAGAGATCCACTAAACATCCGATGGAAAGGCTTTCTGAAGGAGCCCACAGAGGGCCCTCAAACCTCCTTTAGATGACTTTCATCTGACCTCCCACCTGTGCTGCTAAATTGAATCACTAGTTTCAACCTCTTTGACTCTCCGGCCCAGCCCTAGGGTTAATGAGCATAATAAGCAGAGAAAGCCACAAGAAGGAGCGAGTGCGTTAAGCGTGTGGAATGATGGCTGGAAAGGGGTCCCGGATTCCATATCCTCACAACATCTGGGTTGTCTACCTCTGTCTGGTCTCCCCGAGACATGATCATCCTGAGGAAGGGTTGCTGAGAAAGGTTACCTTGATGAGGGGTAGAGGAATGCCAGTGAGGGCCGAGGCATCCATGAATTTCTTGAGATCCTGGTGCAGAAACTCGAAAACCAGGTAGAGTTTGTTTTCCGTGTGGATGACATCGAGCAGCCTAGGGAAGGGAGGTCCCAGGTGGAAGTGAAAGAGAGAAAAGCCCAGGCCACACAGGCCGAAGAACGGATGGTCCACCTCCCAGATATACTTACTTGACAATATTAGGATGGTTAAGCTCCTTAAGCAGAGAGATCTCTCGGATGGCAGTACTGGGGACACCCTCTGTCTCACTTGGAGGGGTTAGGGGAGCAGAGACGGGAATCCGATTACAAATATTCCTTTTTCCACAGCCCACTCACACCTTTCCCACAAAGGAAGTCCCCCCCCCAAAGTAAGTGAGGAAGAGCGGGGCAGGGGCGTAGCTTCTGGACACATAATGTCCTCCTTTCCGGAGGCATTCAGTGAAGCCGCCGGGTGACGGTGGAGCAGAGGAAAAGAGAAAAATGGGACTGTAGCACCCAGCCGCCCCTGAGGGGCCAGTGAGGTCCAACTGCCATTCTTCTGAAAGAGGGAGAGAATTCTAAGATGAGGGTGGGGTTGGGCTGGTCAGAGACCAGAGCTCTTCACTCCGAAAGGAAGAGTCCTGAACCCCACCCTCACGGCCTCCTTCCTCTTCTTGAGTCTGTCTGATTTGGGGGGCCATCACCCGGCTCAGTTTGGGGAGAAAGTTTTCCGTGGTTTCTAATCCACACTCTTACTTTTCATGGAGAAACCCTTTAGTCTGCACCTCCAACTCACTTCCTCACTTAAAAATGAGTCCCTTCCCACTACCTTCCGGTTTAGGGACGCTGCCCGAGAGCGGAGGAGGGTCCTCCAAAGAGCTCCCTCGTTCGGAGTCCCGGGTACAGAAGTCACTCACGTGTCCAAGCGGATTTTCTTCAGCGCCACCACTTCTCCCGTCAGCTTGTTTTTGGCTTTGTACACGACTCCGTACGTGCCCTCGCCGATCTTTTCCACCTTTTGGAAGTTCTCCATGAAGCGCTAGCGACTCGGGTCACCCGGGGCCTGGGGCGGGAGCCTGGGAGCCGCACGGAAAGCGGGCCGCGGTTCTGGGGGACGCAGGGGACAGGGACTCCGCCGGGCACCGCGGCCCCGGGTCGGGATGGAATGCAGGGTACTTCTGGCTCTTGTCAATTTGTTCAACTCGAAACAATGTTGCCTGCCGTCTCCCCCAGCTCCCGACCGCCACCAGACGCCCCGCCCCTCGTTCCCGCGTTTCCCTGACCCCGCCCCCGGGCCTTCCTATTGGCCGACGTCAGAGCCCGGGAGCCCGGCGGAGCGCCCGGAGCCCCGCCCGCGAGGGATCCCGCCCCTCGCCAGCTTGGGCCCAGGCGCTCCGAGGTCCTGCAACCCAGGGGCCGCCCACCACCTTTTCCCAAGAACCTGAGTTCGCCTCGGTGTCTGTGGCGATTCCTTAGATACCCTTAGGGGTAAAGTCTGTGTATTCAACAGAGTTTAAATTCCACCTGGCCCAGGGCGCCTCCTGTGACAATCAGGAAGCTGGGACTCTAAGGAATTCCCGGGCAGGCGTCTACCCCTAGTCTCTGCATTTCCATGCAGGGTCTCTGTTTCTCTCTTTTTTGAGAGACAATTCGGGGTGGGGGTGGGGGACCGTGCTGGGGGCAATACACGAATCTGCCAAGATGAGAGAGAGCGAATGAAAGAAGAAACTATCAGAGAGTATAAGTTCCCTACCATCCCCTTTGTAGAAAAAGAATTACACAGAATCCCCCTGGCATTAAAAACATGTGTACTCTAGCCCATAGCCCAGGATAAAGTATACATACCTGCTTTTGCAGGCCCCTCAGATCGATCGAGGGCCCTTCACCCCTCTCCGCCCAGATTGAAAAGTGGGCATCATGAACTTTGAGAAATATCAGGGTGGGGGGATGGGAAGGGAGTGTCCAGGAACCAGGCGGGGGAGGGGGAGGGAGGGCTATGTAAATGAGCACCCCTTTGCCTATATAAGGGTTTGCCTCAGCCCCCTGTGACCTCTGTTGGCTGGAGGGAAAGACAGCATGCTGACCGGGTGCCTTCTCCGTGTGGTGGTAATGGGGGCTCTGCTGGCTACGGGGGCCACAGAAGGTGAGTGTGGGGTGCATCAACGTGGACGGGTGCAAATTTGGGGTTGACCACCTACTCTATTTCTGGTAGTTGGCCACTAATCTCTAAAGGTTGCAGTTTGAACCCACCCCGCAATGCCAAGGACGGAAGGTCGGGCAAAATGCTGTTTTAAAGATTAGATTCAAGACAATCCACTTTTACGCTAATGAAAACTACAACCCAGACCCATTGCCCGACGGTCGATTCTGACACACAGTGATCCCAAAAGACAGAGTGGCACTGCCCCCACAAGATCTCCACGGCTGCAGATATCTCCCAAAGCAGACTGCCTCATCTGTCTCCTGTGAAGATGCCCGGCGGGTTCGGGCGTCTTTACTTTACCACTATACCACCAGGGCTCCTTACTCTTACACCAGGGCCAACTTGACCACAACCAGTTTGTTTGTTTTACCCCCCAAAAAAACCAAATCAGCTCAGCCAGGCAATGCTTTGGGCTTCTTCCAGCTGTTTGATTTAGTAAGAGCTCTTGGGCATGGAGCTTGAAAACCTCCTTCCTCACGAGGAGATTGGACATGGAGCTTGAAAACCACCCCAACTGCTTGGCGGAGCCAAGGGTAGTGTAGTAGATCTCTATGGTCCTTATTCTGACGGTCCCTGGGCCATAAGCTGACCGCTCTAAAGGGGTATAAAGCTGGGGAGACTCTCCTAGGTCATGTCTCGGGCAGTGACAGTGGGAGGGTTCGAGTTGGGGAGTAAGAGGATGGGTTGTTGGGTGAAAAAAGGCTAAGGTGGCACCACCTTCCCCTTTGGGATGGGAGTAGCCTTTTGTTCTGGGGCTGGGAGACACAGGCAGAGGGGCCTCAGCTGAGCATCACATGAAAGGGCTCTTGAGAGTTGAAGCCTCCCTCGTGACAGGAGTAAGGGGTGGGGTTGGAGTTGGTGAGAGGGTCTGGAATGTCCCGTGCTATACTAAGGAGGGAGGGTTGGGAATGGAGAGAGAGAGGTTGGGGCATCTCGTGACTTCTCTTGTTCTAGGGGTGGGATGCTCAATGGGAGGGTCTCAGCCTCTCCCAGAAGAATCAAGGTTTCCAGTCCACAGTGGAAAATGGGTGGGGCTGGTTTCTGCCATGCTGAAAGATATTTTAGCCCCCAATTCTTCCATGCTCCACACTTCTAGCAAGTTCTCTTTCATCCGACCTCTGCAGGCTGCAGTCTCCAAGTCCCTTTCTTCCCCGATGCAGCCTCTTCTGGAGACATTCTGTACATACCCACCCATCCTGAGGGCTCTTAAAAAAGTGTGCCTACTTTTGGGATCCTGCCCTTCCATTTAAAAATATTTATGATCATTTCATATCAACCAAGCTCGATCATTTTGTTTAGAGATCATGCTTATGGCAAGAAAATATTCATATTTTACAGATAGTGAATCTATAGGTCTAAAAGATGTTTGGGGTTTGCTTTTAAACACTTTATCAAAAAGGGGGAAAAGCAAAAAAAAAAAGAATACCTAGATCAAATGTAGCAAGTGGAGGCCACTACATCTTTTTTTTTTGCAGACCTCTCTCGGTGAGTTACAATCATTTTCTGTCTGCTCTCTTCCCCACTCCTAACCTCTCCCTGCTTCAATTTACCCTCCTCATTGCTTGTCCAAATGTTTTCCAATGTAAAAAGTCAAACCTAATCATGTTCAAAAACTTCCTGCAGGGTATAAGTTTCTTAAGATATGTGAATGAACTGGATCTCAGTTAGAACCAAACAAAAATGCCATCTGAGATGACTTTGCCTACGGGATAAAGGTAAAAATTCCTTAGCCTGGCACTGAACCCCTGTGCCAGTCTTTCAGCCTCATCTCTCATGGTATGGATTTACCTACCACCCTGCTGTTCCTCTATCAGCCACGTGATTCCATGCTGCAGGCATCTGCTCATGTTAGTCCTTCTGCCAATCCCTCCCTCAAGCCTTTCCCACTCTGCCAGAATAAAGTTAAGCTATGGAGTCTGTAATTTCTTTTTATTTCCTGCAGGTTTGTTATGGCACGTATTGAATGGTGCTTTGAATGATCGTGACACTGGTTAAGTACTTGGTGGCTAACCAGGTCAGCAGTTCAAACCGGCCGGCTGCTCCACAGGGGAAAGATACTGCAGTCTATTTTTTCTAGACTGACAGCCTTCGAAACCTTCTGAGGTCGTTCTACTCTGTCCTATGGGGTCACTGTGAGTCAGAATCCGCTTGATGGCAGTATGTGGGTTGAATTACATAATTATTCATCTACATGTCTACTTCCTGCACTTCACCTCGAATCCCTTTGGGGCTCTCCCACTGACGCTGCAACCTCAAGCCTTAACCAAGGGGTCCTGGGGGCTTAGTTGATAACTGCGGAGTCCACAGTTTGAACGCACCAGCTATTCCTCCTCTAGACACACTCTGTTCCGTTAAAGATTTATTTACTTATTTATTCCCTTGAAAGATGTAAACTCTTGGAAACCCTAGGCAGCAGTTCTACTGTGTCCTATAGGGTCACCATGAGTCAGAATCAACTCAGTAGAAAGGGGTGATTCTTAATCAAGTCTTAAGTTCCGTCTACTACCTGGTCGGTAGTTCTTCGTAAATGAGGATGAATGAAGTGACAGGGGGTGGAATCTAATCTGAGAGAGGGCTGAGTGAGGACCTAGTGATCCCGAGGTACATTCCTTTCAGGATTCAGAGACCAGAACTGGCCCGGTGGCTCGAGGCAGCTCAGAACCAATTCCTGGAACAGGCATCTATATCCAGAGTGGACCGAAGCCCAGGCATCTGACTGCTGGAGAGGTAGGAATGTGGCAATTAGTGGGGTGCTGGGAGGGAGCAAGGGCATTGCTGGAATGGAATGGGCAAAGAAGCCAGAAGAACTAACTGGGTGGACTAGATATGGGGGGGCCTCAAAAACTCCCAGGGAAATGTCATTATCTTTTCATTCATCCCCCCACAAACTTTGTAAAGCCCCCTTTCAAGCTTGGGAAAGTGATATCTATGGGGAGGGGCAGCTGAGAGTCCCAGCTAATGCAGTTTCCCTACCCAGGTGGCCAGGTGGCCCTGAAGGTCAGTAATGATGGGCCCACTCTGCTCGGTGCAAATGCTTCCTTCTCCATTACCCTGCGCTTCCCGGGAAGCCAAAAGGTGCTGCAGGATGGGCAGGTCGTCTGGGCTCACAATGCCACCTTCAATGGTGAGTCCCTCTCTACCTCGGCCTAGTGTTTCTAGGGCTCACTGTACCCCATGTTCCCTGAATCCCCAGTGAGTTCAGGCAGGGAATGTTGTTGCCCTTGGTATCCCTCCCCCCTAATTGTTTATAAATCCTCTGTGTACCACAGATGCATTGTCACAAAGTGAGAAGACACAGAGAAACTAGACAGGAAAGAAAGTTCTAGTCCTGGGTACATTAGAACCTGGTGAACACAGAAGTGGGACAGACGGAGATGTAAACCTGTTACCAGAACGTGACCCTGGGCTAGCTCCTTAATCCATTTGTAGCTCCATTTCCTTCTCTGTGGAATGGGATTCAAATGCAGCAGTGTCTACAAAACTTGGCCTAGTGTTTGCCAATGTTAGCTGGTGTGATGGTTTTAACTTTTATCCCGCTGGCTAGAGGAGGCCACTCTAAACATCTAATTTGTTTCCCTGCACTCCCAATCTCCTCTCAAATGGGCTACCATATATACTTGAGTATAAGCTGTCCCGAATATCAGCACAGGCTCCTAATTTTACCACAAAAACTGTATTAAAAATGTGCTGGAAAACCCGGCTTTGTCCAATACTGAGTCTTATGGCCATTGAATCTATTTCCACTCACAGTGACGCTATAGAACAGGGTACAACAGATGGGAGTAAAAAAGCCTCCTCTTTCTGAGGAGCAACTGGTGGGTTTGAATTGCTGACCTTGATGTCGTAACCACTATGCTATCAAGGCTCCTTTATAGGTCTCAATTAAAATACAGAAGCAAGACTGCTTAGACACATTAAGGAAGGTATGTAAACCTGAATAGTCACTTATGAGTTTGATGAAGATGCTTTTGTTGAACACATGAGATTGATGCTCCTATCTAATGGAATGGGCTTGCTATTGTTTATGTTTTGTTCATAGTGAATTGCTATAAATGGAATGCTATTTCTCTGTGAATTTCACTTTTATTTTTGAAATTCATCTCTAATATTAAAATATATACATTAAAAAAAACTCGGCTTATACAGTACTAGAGTATACATGGTATCTCATAGGGATTTACACTCCAGCTAGGGACTCTCCCCAGAGCTCCTGCTGACCCCTGGGGAGCCACTTTAGGAGAGGCCTAACAGTGTCAGAGGGTGACTTCTGGATCCACCTCTCAGGGAGCCAGGTGCGGGAAGGACAGCCAGTGTATCCCCAGGACCCGGAAGACGCCTGCACCTTTCCTGATGGTGGACCCTGCCCACCTGACACACAGTCTCAGAGGAGAAGCTTTGTTTATGTCTGGAAGACCTGGGGTGAGGGGCTCCCTTCTCTGAATTTTCACCAGGGTTCAAATTCACCTCTTCCTATTTGATCTTCTTTCTCTCTGATCTCACCCCTTAACCTTCTTATCCTCCCTAGCACCTTTCTCTTCCATAGTGCCTGTCCCCGCAACTCTCTCTCTCTCATAAACCTTTCCCCAGTTGTAATAGCACCCTGTAGAACCCCTCATCAGGACCCTTCCCTGCCCCCCACGTCACAGCTTTCCAGAAATCCTCTCAAGTCCCCACCCTCAACCCACCTCCTGACTTCCCTCCCAGTGTCCCCTCTGGGTCTTCCCTTCCCTCTCCTCTGACCAATACCCTCCCCTCCCCTTGCTTTTATTTCCCAAAACCTCAGGCCAATACTGGCAAGTTCTGGGGGGCCCCGTGTCTGGGCTAAGCATTGGCACCAGCCGGGCAGTGCTGGGTGCACATACCATGGAAGTGACCGTCTACCACCGCCGTGGGCCCAGGAGCTACGTGCCTCTCGCCTACTCCCGTTCATCCTTTACCATCACTGGTAAGGGAGCTGGAAGGGGCAAAGGCAGTGGCAGGGCCGCAGAAGGTGGGCAAGCTGGACTGGGCTGCCATGGGGAAATGCTCTACCACTTTTAAGAGGCAGAACCAGGAAGACCTGGGCAGAGGCTGACAGGCTTGGAGTCAATGAAGGGCCAGGGGGGCTGTGCTGGTTGGAGGGCGTGGCTATAAACGGAGCTGCTGCCCAGGTCTGGGGCTCACCTTTCCTGATTCCCGTCCCAGATCAGGTGCCTTTCTCCGTGAGCGTGTCCCAGCTGCCGGCCTTGGATGGAGGGAACAAGCAGTTCCTGAGGAATCAGCCTCTGACCTTTGCCCTCCAGCTCCACGACCCCAGTGGCTATTTGACAGGGGCTGACCTCTCTTACACCTGGGATTTTGGAGACAATAGTGGGACCCTGATCTCCCGGACTCTTGTAGTTACCCATACATACCTGGAAGCTGGCCTGGTCACTGTCCAGGTGGTACTGCAGGCTGCCATTCCTCTTACCTCCTGTGGTTCCTCCCCGGTCCCGGGCACCACAGATGGGTACATGCCAACTACAGAGGTGCCTGACACCACAGCTGAGCAAGAACCCACTACACCTGGCCAGGTGCCAACTGCAGAGGTGCCTGGCACCACAGCTGAACAAGAACCCACTACACCTGGCCAGGTGCCAACTGCAGAGCCCTCTGGAGTCACAACTGTGCAACCGCCAACCACTGAGGTCACTGGCACTACACCTGGGCAAATGCCAACCTCAGGGGTCACAGCTACCACACCTGCAGAGGTCACAGGTACCACACCTGCAGAAGTGATGACTACTGCAGGACCCTCTGAAACCACAGCGGCAGAGGTAACGACTACAGAGTTGGTGGAGCCTGAGACTCCAGATGCCAGTCCATTTATGCCTTCAGAGGACATTATAGGTAAGGGGACACTGGGAAGGAGGTTCCCTGAGGTGGGGCATTTGTCACTCCTCAGAGGAACTGCGAGTCTTACTCATGACCTGGGTGTTACCCAGTCCTCTGCGGAACAGTGTCTGGAACCCGGCATGTGCTCAGGTTTCCCTCAGAGCCCTCGTTGGCTCTGAGACCCTCGAAACTCAGAAACACACTGCCATCCAGCCCAGTCTGACTCAGCGCCACCCTATGGGACAGAGCAGAACTGCCCCTGTGGGTTTCTGAGACTGACATTTCACAGGAGTAGAAAGCCTCGTTTTTCTCCCCGTGAGCTGCTAGCCATTTCTAACTGCGGACCTTGAGGTTAGCAGCCCAGAGCACAGCCACGCCACCAATTCTGAGTGTTCTCCTGACACCCTCAAGTTCTTCCGAATCAGTGTTTTGGAACCTAGCTTGGTTCTAGATTATGGGCTATAGCACCAAAGTGTTTAATTGCCAGGTTTGAGGGGTTTTGTTTTCCTCTCTGAGAAGGGGGCACTAGGCCAACTCAGTGTGGGAACCGGTGCTCTAAATGACAAGGAGCGGATCTGGAATTCAGAAAAACAGGTTCTTCGCCAGGTCAGAGGGAGAGAGCTTGTTTTGTCCATACTCCGAGCAGGTGGTGGGGAAGGCCAAGGGATAATCGGGATCATTTACATAGTGTTGCGCTCTCACCTGTTCAAATGCACATACACAAATATCTTTCCCGACTCACATAGCCTCTTCCCTCCACTTCCCACCCCTGGATTCTCATCCCGGCCCTGAAGAAGGCGGATGGGACCCTTCCTGACTCTGGATTGAGTTAACACCCGTGGGGGGGTGGGGGGTGGGGGGGTGGGGTTCAGCCTGTTCTCACAGGCTTGGCAGAACCAAGACCGAATTTTCTGTTGAGTTCGGCAAACCGGTTCTTAAACTGGCACTTGCAATTCTCTAAGGTGCTCTCTCTAAGGTGGGCAGTTGGGCAGCCCCTCAACGTGGCAGTCAACAAATTTACATTCCTTACTCGTTTTTTAACCTTCATGTGTGCAACAGCGGTGTTCCCCCATCGAGTTGAAATCATAAACTGCCTTTCAGTCTATTAGGGTTTTTTATGCTTAAAACGGTCATTAGGGCAGCAAATCGGTGGCTAATCCCACCACTGATAAGCATGTTAAGCATGTGTTGGTGTCTAGCACAGGACCAGGCACAGTGTGTAGTGGCTAACAAATATCTGGGGATTAAAAAAACATTCAACTCCAGCTCTGTCACTGTCCAGCTCTGGGGCAGTAACTTCTTTTCCTAACCCTCAATTTTCTTATCTATAAAACGAGATTTCCCAAGTGTTCCTGGAATTCGAGTTACTCTGGCCCTTGCGGGTGGGGGAGGGGGGAAGTGCTTGCTTAGATTCTGCCTCCAAGAGAGTCTCCTGGTCTTTTGACCAAGCCTCCCGGACATCCTCTTGCCAGGCTCCCTAAGCCCCCAGCCAGAAGGTACAGCCGCCTTAATCCTAGTGAAGCGACAAGCCCCGCTGGATTGTGTTCTCTATCGATACGGCTCCTTTGCTCTCACCCTGGACATTGTCCGTGAGTCTGGACTACATTGTGGGGAAGGGACGAGGCACGTGCTGGGGGGAGGGAGGGGCTTGCCTCAGGAGGCCACAGGCTTGCCTGGGACAGGATGCCTGCTCCTTTCCTTGTTCCAAGGCGTTGGGATGGGGCTGGGGGAGAAGCCCCAGGGCTTCCCGTCTGGGCACTTGGAGAGGGCTGGTGCGGAGGGTCCATGCGCTCCATCCTGTGACTGCAGAGGCTATTGAGCGTGCAGAGATCCTGCAGGCCGTGCCGTCCAGTGAGGGGGACACGTTTGAGCTGACTGTGTCCTGCCAAGGCGGGTGAGTGGCACAGAGCGTCCTGGGAACGCGTGGGTTGACTGTTATTCTGCTCCTTGGGGCCCCGTAATCCTTCCCAGACCCCTGATTTGACACTTCTCCCAGGCTGCCCAAGGAAGCCTGTATGGACATCTCATCACCGGGATGCCAGCCCCCTGCCCAGAGGCTGTGTCAGCCTGTGCCACCCAGCCCAGTCTGCCAGCTGGTTCTACACCCGGCACTGAAGGGCGGCTCAGGAACCTACTGCCTTAATGTGTCTTTGGCTGATGCCAACAGCCTAGCCATGGTCAGCACCCAGCTTGTCATGCCTGGTAGGTTCATGGATAAGAGCAAGGAGGAAGAAGGGGAGGGGACAGAAGCTGAGGCTAACAAGCCATGCCTGGGATTCTGCCCCCAGGTCAAGGAGCAGGCCTTGGGCAGGCTCCCCTGTTTGTGGGCGTCTTGCTGGTGTTGATGGCTGTGGTGCTTGCATCTCTGATCTACAGGTGAGGCCCGACCACTCATCTCAAAAACACGCACTGATTCACAGTTACTCTCTAGGGTGGAACAGAACTTCCCCAGTGGGCTTTTGAGTCTGTACCTCTTTAGATGAGCCTTATCTTTCTCCAGCAGAATGGCTGGTGGGTTTGAACTGCTGACCTTGCAGTTAGCAGCCCACTGCGGACACAACCCAGTAGGCCACCAGCACTCCTGTCCACTCATCTCAGACCTCCTGAATTCCTCATTACCACGACTCATTCTTCCTCAATGCTTATTCCTACCACTCCCTTTGAGGAAGCAGGAAAGAGCCCAGGTTTGCAATTGACACAGCCCTGGGTGCAGTCCTGCCTGTGGGACCTTGGACAAGGAAGCCAAACTTCTTTGCACGTTTCCCGTTCTGAAGAACAGGAAAACTAGAGTCTGCTGTGCAGAGCTGTTGGAAGGACGAGGCAACGTGGGGAAAGCACCTGACTGTGAAGCCAGAGTACTATACATGACAGTATTGATGGTGGTGGTTACTGATCGTATGAAGAGCAGGCAAGGGAGGGTAAACGGCCGTTTTTCCAACTACAAGGATAGAACCACAGGCTTGGGTTGGATCTCAGAGGTCCTCAAAGTAAGGAAGTTGGGGTGTGTGTGTGTTAGGGGATATAGAGGTTACCATAGCAACGAGAGGCATGACCCTAGAGGTGAGAAGAGGAGGGAGTGGAGGTCAAGACTACTAGGCCTGGGATAAGGGTGTGTCCCCTTCTTTGCAGAAGCACAGACTGGCTGCCCTTGCCCACAGTTAACCAGTTTCCCCTTTTTTTCCTCCTAATATCAGGCGAAGACTTAGGAACCAGGGCTCAGTTCTCCCTCTGCTGCCTCAGCTGCCACATGGCGCCATCCATAGGCTGCGCCTGCCCCGGGTCCTCCGCTCTTGCCCCGTTGGCGAGAGCAGCCCCCTTCTCAGTGGGCAGCAGGTCTGAGCACTCTCTTGTGATGCCAGGACTGGCCTGGCATTGGCAGCAACTCCTGTCTTCTTCCAGTCTCCCCTCGGACACTGTTACCTGAATTAAATACTCAGAATGAATTCTCCCCTCGGAGACTACTATTACCTGAATTAAATACTTCTTGTTTTCCTTGTTTCTTGGAAGAACCTGTCATTTAAGAAGAGGGTATGAAAGGAGGTAGATCGTTTACTTATCACAGATAGCCCAGTGGAAAAAAAGAGTCATTTTATTCAGATGAGGCACTTTCAATATGTGTCTGTGGTGTGTGAGTGTGTGTGCGCATGGTACACACGTGTGTGTGGTGCATAGTAGAGGTGATACAGGGTAATAAATACTGTGAGGGTGAAGGAACACTCCCCTGAGCTGGCAGGAGGGTGTGGCAGCAATGTACAGAGCCTATGGGTGGAGTCCAGGGAGGGGCTGGTGGTTCAACCCAAGAAGCCAAAGAAATGGGAAGAGCGAGGGGGAGGGCCCATGAGCATGGGCATCTGGTTCTTGTGGGAGATCTTGATCTGGAAGGGAAGGGAACACATTCAGAAGCTGGACCTTGGGGCTGGAGCAGCAGGGATTTGGGGTGGGGTGGGGGGACTGCTGGGCGTTGGGGTGGGTTACTAGGGTTCTGGAGAGGCTAAGAAGTCAGTGTTTGGGTGAACCTGGAACATCAGCAGGCCTGATGGCAGAGTAGGTTATATGTTGAGCTGCTAACCACAAGGTCGACAGTTCGAGCCCACCAAGTACTGTGCAGGAGAAAGAGGAGGTTTCCTGCTCCTGTAACGACTTACAGCCTCAGCAACCCACAGGGGCCCTCATCTCACTTCTATAGGATGAGTCTGCATCAACTCACTACCACTCAGCATTTGGGGCATCAGGAAGCAGCAGAGCTATTGAGTGCAAGTGCATTTGGGTCGTGGGACCTGCGGGCTGGGTTTTTGGCAGGCAGAGGTCATACTCACTGTACAGGGTGACTGCATCCAGGGTTCTCCATCAATTTGCATGGGGAGGGTTTTTGTGGTGCTGTGGGAGGACAGGGCGGATTGGTGGAGCACTCTTTCCAACTAAACACAAGAACTCTGCTTCCTCAGGTTGGCGTTGGGGCCCTTTGTGACTGAGGACGATCTCTTAGGATGCCCTCTACCATTTCTTTAACCTTTCTGCCCTCGTCCTGCCCCCCGCACGCCGCCCTGGGCCCAGAAAATGCCTTACTGGAAGGTGATCTCAGAGCATTTGGCCAACCGATGTCCAGCACTCTTGAGCTTGGTATAGATCTGGCCCATCTCAATGGCACCCTCCAGCCCCACCACTTCCAGCCGCTTGTCGCTTAGGTCTGCAGGGTGCATGGCAGGAAAAGAAGCTTTATAGAAGCAGGGTGGCCCCAAAGGCACTTAAGCCTTCCCTTTGGCCCCACATATCCGCTCAACTCTCGAGGCTGCCCCGCCCCTCCTCACCTTGTACACAGGTTTTCAGGATCTCAGGGTCGGTGATGACTTTGGCCATGGTGCCCAGGGCCTGGTTGATCTGGCCTTCCCCATGAGGCCTCTTGGTCTCACCCCAGAGGTTGGAGCCACCGTGCATGCTCGGGATGTTCAGCACTGCAATGCCTTCCAGGGACAGGTGGCTCAGGTCCAGGGGTTTCCCACAAATCTGACAGGAGCAGGACACAGCCCCAGTTGGGGAGGGCACAAAGTCTCACCCATGGCAGAATCATGGGTGTGATGCCTCTTCACCATATGACACACAGGGGGGCGGATTTGCCATGAGTGGAGGGAAATAGGGACTGGGAAATCGTGAGGGCTCGGGAAACATGGGTTAGAAAGTGAGGGAAGGTCAAAGACGTATAGACTGAAGAAGACGGGGCGAGGGAAGCTCAAAAGGATGGTAGGGCGGGTCACATGTACCTCAACTGTCAAAGACTCCTCCAGCTTTTTGCAGGTGGAGAAGATGGATTCAGATGTGGCAAATTCGAAGTACCATAGTTTGTTCTTCATTCTGTCAGTCCCACCATATGGTCCAGGAAGGAGGGGCCGGGTGACACAGTGTCAGAAGGAGTGGCTTGGTGCCCGGGAAGGGCCTCAACCTCCCAACAACAGTAGCATGGGGAGCAAGAGTGGCTTTGGTTGAGGACAGAGGACCCACTGTCCACCTAAGTGGTCTGAGTCCAACTGGCCACAACCTTGCTCCTGCTACTGTGTATGCCCACACGCCCTTCTCCTCTCCCTTACCGGCTGTTGAACTTCTCAGGATATTTCTCTCGCATGATATGGAATCGGTGGGCAATTGAGGCATCCTGGGGCGAACAGAGGATGTGGGATCAGAGGCATGCCTCCTCTCTCAGCCCAGCACTCTGTGTAACTTCCCAGTCTCGGAGCAGCGTGTCCTAAGTTCTTTTCTTACAACTCACACTCTCCCTGCACCGATTTCCCTGGGTCACACCTCAGTGACGCTGCCCACCTCCAGCACCAGCCTGCTGTGGCCCTCCTTCCTCCCTTCCACCCCCAAGTCCCATTCCACTGACCACACCGATGGAGAAGTAGTTATTGATGATCTGGAAAGGTACAGGGTCGCTCTTCTCTGCAGTTCGCTGCGGTATCACTTCCACAGACCATCGATCCATGTGTACCGTTTTACTCATCTCTAAGTCCTTGAGGATCTTCCCCAAATTCTGTCCTTCATAGCCTAGGGTTGGGGAAGAAGACAGGTTAGCTCAGAGCACACCAGCTCCTTCTAGCACAGCTCCACACGGTCCCAGAGATCCTCTGCTCTGCTTCTACAGAACCTCCCAGGCCCTGCCAGTGAAAGAGAGGGGGCTTCGCCGTGGCTCCCACGGACCAATCTTGAGGTCACCCCGTAGTGGACCCATTTCTCCAAGCTGTCACAGAGGATGACTGTCCCCACTGTGTATGCACATCTAAGAATGATGCCAAAGCCTGTCAGGATTGGTTGGGCAGAATCACCAGGAAAATGCAGAGAAAGATGAGTAATGAATGCGAAAATCCCTATCGAGTTCTCTGACCCTTTCTCCCCACATTCCACCAGACAGAACAGAGTATCGAACGACGGTATCTGACCAGTGTGATTCTGTCACAGTGATGACAATACATAGATTCCAGTGTATATGGGAGTTTAGTGTATGATAACATTTCAAATAAGTGGGGGAGATGAGAGATTATTTAAGAAATGGTATTGGATATGATAGTCACTCCTTACGCTGAAACAAATTAAAGTTGGGTCAAAGAATTTAAAAGTAAAAAGAGAAACAGAATTTGTTCTAAGGGAAAAAAAAGATTTAAAAAAATATATAAATCTTTTGAGTGGCCTTTCTAAAGAGTAACACAAAATTAAGACCCCAAAGGGAAAGACTGATAAACACAACTTTATTACCATTAAAAACTTCTGTATGGTTAAATAAATAGCACTTAAAAAAATTAAAAAAGAAAAGAAAAGAAAAATACAAACCCAGGGCAGAGCAAAAATAGCAACACATATAACAGACCAATTTCCCTAACGTTAAAAAAAAAATAACAATGCTTACAAATCATGTTCTTTAAAACCTCAATATTAAAATGGACAAATAATAAAAACAAGCCAACCACAGAAGAAATACAAATGCTCAATAAACATGAGACATCTCACCAGCACTAAAAGTTAAAAGAACTGCACAATAAAACGGCTAACTTTTTGTTGCCCTCAGTCGGACAACGCCTAAAGACACGGAGAAAGCCAGATGCTTTCCCCTGAGGCTATCGGACTCAGGTGGCATTCTCTATGCTGTTAGTTGGCGCATAACCGGTCCCTCACTCTGTGGAAGGCAATTTTTATTACAATGTTATCAAAACATGTCATCGATTCAGTCTTTCTACTTTGGGGATTTCTCTTATGAAAAGTAAACACAGGTGCACAGAGGTAGGTGTGTGAGGACGTTTGCTGAAGCATTCTGGATAATTGCAAGAACTCAGGAACCATCTCACTGCCCACAAGCACTAACTGAGAGAGATCCAAGCTACGCTATTCAATGAAAAAAAACAAGTCCTGCAACAATGTGTACAGTATGATCCCATTTATTTATTTATTTTAAGAGCCAAATGTGAAGGAGCTTCATACCTCTAATTCCAGTTTCCCACGAACTTTTGAAGCTCCCTCGTGTGCGTGTGCGTGTGTGTGTGTGTGTGTGTGTGTGTGAGAGAGAGAGAGAGAGAGAGAGAGAAAGAACATGTAAAAGCAGAAAAGTGAGCATAAATCATGGTTATCTCTGGGGAGTACATGGAAGTTGGTGGAGAACAAACAAGAGGCCAACATGTGAAAACTTACATACTTTATGCCTTTAAATCTTTTACAGCAGAAACTTAGGGATATATTGTTTGTATAAGGTTTTAAAGAAGAAAGTTACTAGTAAAATAGTCAAATACTCTGAGGCAGTAATTCCACTTCTAGGAATCTCTCCTAGAGGGGTGTGCAGGGATAAATATACCTCATCATAGTTTGTAATAGTAAAAAAAAGGGGTGCTTCTCAAATGGCCATCGGTTGAGGGCTGGTTAAATAAATGATGGTTCATTCACACCAGGGAATACTCATTTCTCTAAGAGTGAGGCAAACCTAACTGTACTGACGATAGTGACACCCAAGAGGAACTGTTTTAAAAAAAGAAGGGAGAAAAAAATCTGTAACATGATCTCATTGTGACTTAAATATGTATCAGTATGCACTTAGAGAAAACATGAAGGGGAAGGTCCCAAGGCGTTAGGGAGTGATGTGTGTTATGTTTTCATTTTTATTTTTAACCGTAAGCATATTAGTTTTGTAATGGGGTGGGTGGGTGTTCAGAACATAAGTCTCTACCTCCTCACATCCCACTGACGGCTTCACTCACAGTAATTTGCCTTTTATCCCTACAACCCCACAGAAACCCGTCTGGCAAACATTGCCAATGGTCTCTGCCAAAACCAACAGTATAGCTCTAGTTCTCAATTTAACTCTTCAAACGCCTCACTGGGTCTCTGAAATACCACTACTCTCTCAGCTACAAAAGAACGTCTTGGGCTTAGAGAGACTGGGGGTGGGATGGGTGAGGTGGGAGGGGGCCCTATTCCTCACTTTTCCTCGGGCAGTAGCTTTCAAAAGTTGTCCAGGTTCAGGGATTCCACATTCAAATGTTTCCAGGGCTTAAAAGCTAAAGCAGGGAGCCATGGGGATTGTGAGGAACTGAATAATACATATCCCATTTAGAAATAATCACGTTCCCAAGACTTTAACATACTGCCAGGCAAACAATATAAAGCTATACAAATCATTTCTGTGGACAAATCTGCTTACAGTTTTGGCAGGATGAAGTTTAAAATGCCTTAGCAAAGCATTTCTCCAAAACCCAAAACCGAACTCTGCCATCGTCATTGTGGATTCATTGCGACCCCCAGTGGGTTTCTGAGACAGTAACTGTTTAAGGAGTAGAAAGCCCAGTCTTTCTCCCCAGGAGAAGCTGGTTTCAAAGTGCCGACCATGCAGATTGCAGCCCAACACATACCCATTGCACCCAAGGCTCCTAGCCCCATTTAATCTGGCCTCTGTCCCACTCAGCCTCCCTCTTCCCATTCCTGTCTTGACCCCTATTCCCCAATCACAGGGAGTCATTTACAATTCCCCTAACACACCACCCAGGTGAAGTAGTGGTTTACACACTGGGCTGCTAACCACAAGGTCAGCAGTTCAAAACCATCAGCCTCTCTGAGGGAGGAAGATGAGGCTTTCTATGTCTGTAAGAATTGACACTCACTGAGGCAGTTCTATTCTGCCCTATAGGCTGGAAGCAGAGAATTTGGCTTGGTGAAAACACATCACTATACAGATTGATGAGCCCTCTGCCCCTACGCTTACACGACTTCCTCTACCTAGCACGCCTTCCCGGCTCGTCACCAGATTCCTATCCTATAAACTAGGTTTCAGAGACGAACTCTGGACATCGTCTCAGCTCCAACACACCTCAAGCTCTTCATCGACAAACACCGGCCTGCAGGCCTTTCATCTATGAAGGGGAGGAGGCAAAGAGACTTGAAATGAGAGACCGATTAGGACCTGATTGCAAAAGATCCAGAAAGAAAGAATGATGAACTAATAAAATGACTGTCTACTTGGTGAATGAATCAATGAGTCAATCTAAATAGCCCACTCTCTCCATCACACCTTTAACCTTCCCGATTTCCACGTGGTTCACCCCTTTGTTAGGGTTTGTGGCCTCTTCAAAGATGCTGCAGAGCCTACCTCCAGAAGCCCAGAAAACCAAAGCCACTACCATCGAGTTGGTTCCAATTCCCAGCCAGAGGGGACTTGCCCTACAGGGCTTCTGAGGCTCTCTCTTTAGGGGCGCAGCCCGCCTGCTCTTTCTCCCTCACAGGGGTTCCTCGCCTACATGTCCAGATCATTGGGTCAACAGCCCAGTGCTTAACCCACTGGTCTACCAGGGTGCTTTAATCTCCTTTGGTGATAGACGTTCTCTGTTGTGTTAATGTGGGGGTATCAGGGTAGGCTGAGTTTTAAATCCATCGCCTTTCAGATATAAAAGAGCAGATCAAATAAGGTAGAGCAGAAACAAAGCCAGGGCATGCCATGCTGCAGGAGGATCGCCCTGATCGCCAGGGAATGGAAGCTGAAAAGAGACAAGGCTTTTCTTTCCCCCAGAGTCTACAGAGAGAGAAACCTCCTCTAAAGACAGGGTCCGGAACTCAATTTCCAGCTTCTCGCCCAACCCAAACCAGACTCACTGCCATCAAGCCATGTAGAACTGCCCCTGTGAGTTTCCCAGACTCTAACCCTCTATGGGAGTAGGAAGCCCTGTTGTTCTCCTGGGGAGCAGCTGGTGGTTTCAAACTGCTGACTTTGTGGCTAGCAGCCCAGCTCACTATGCCATCAGGGCCTCCTGTCTGGCCTCTTATGCTGTGAGAAAATACATTTCTGGTTTTTAAAGTCACCCACTGGTGATATAGTAGCCCTAGGTAACTCAGACATCCCTCATTTTCCATGATTCTCAAAGACCAAAGAGCTGGTTGGCGGAAGCAGAAGGTTATTTGTCTGTTTGTAGGGAAGAAAGCTGTTGTTACACACACACACACACACACACACACACACACACACACACACACATACCCTTGTGAGCTCAGGCGACTTCACCCTCTGATCACAGAACAATCAGCAGCCCTGCTTCTTCCAGAGCGCTCTTCCTTTGGGCACGCCACTTGGTGCCCCCACATCTGTGCCCCTCTTCTCCCTACCAGCTCTCTTCCTGCACCAGATGCCCGATGCGTCTCTGTGTCACTTTTTCTTTCTGTCCCACTTCCCCATCGCCAGCCAAACACTCACTCCCTAGCCACTTACCTCCTCCCCATCGTAGGCAACGAGCCAGATCATTTCCAGTACCCAAGGGCAACACAGCGACCGGAGGCACAACCGACAAGTTAGCCTTGTCTGGGGAGACAGGGGAGAAAATGGAAATGGACAGTTCGCTCTGGAAAGCCACTGGCCCAGTCAGGCCCCTGGCTGGCCCGCTCCCTGCACTGACCGATGGTCTCTAGAATCCAGCCTACGGTGCCGTCTCCGCCACACACCAAGATCCGGCAATCAGCAATATCTTTGAAGAATTTGAGCCTGAGACACACAAAAAAAAGGGTGTGTGTGTGTGAGGAAGGTCAACCGGAAGAGTAAGGCTACTCAGCTCCCAGCAGATTGCCTCTGGACTCTTTGTCAAAAGACTTGGTTTCTATTAATGGTCGAGAAGAGGGGCAATGGGGAAAGTCATAGCGGGGAGGGAAGAACTTTTATCTCCATCCTTTGAAAGCAGATGTCCCCTCTTTGAGCAGGAGCGCGCAGAGGCAGGGCCCTCAGTGACCCTGGGAAAGAAGTATCCTGAAGGCTGGCTCCAGGGGTCCTCTGTGCCCAACACAGTGTTCGCTCCTGCTTTCTCCCCACATAGACACACACAGAGTCTGGTACAGCCCGGCCTCCACTCACCCCGCCTCCGGACCATCCTTTTGGAGATTGAACACCTGTCGAGGGTTTAGCAGGTACTGGAACTTCCAAAGCACCCTGTTGTCAGAGAAACGGGGACTCTCTTGGGGGTGAGGGGACGTTTTGTCCCTCACCCTCTGGATTTGTCTCATCAAGGTGTGCCCCCTCCATCCAACACGGTCCCTTCCTCCCTCCAGCCTCTGTAGGTCCTCCCTCCTTCCGTCTTAGAAGACCCAGTCTCACCTCTCCCCCTGTTTGCCGCCACTCTTAGGGTTGACAAAGACAAGAAGTGGGTGGGTGTTGGGAACAGGGTCAATCTGGATGGGGGAAGAAAGCAAGGGTAAGGAAAGGAGGATGTCATCAGAATCACGACTGAGCCTGGAGAGAGAGACTTTTGCCCCACAAAAGTGCTTGTCTTTTCTTTCTTCCTCTGTGCCCAGAATGGGACTCTGGAATCCAGGCAACATCCTGGGTGTGGGGGGGTAAGGGGTGTGTTTCCCACTTCATTCCCTCCCTGGGGTGGGGGTGCTCCAATAACAAAACACTAAGAAGCCCAAGCCCCTCAGTCCAGTACCCGGAAAGCCTCAGAAGTGCCTGCAGCTATGTCTTCCTCGTTCTTCTGGTGCACTCTGTTCCTTTTCTCATCCGTTCCCGAAGCCTAAGAGGGGGAGGAGCCCCGAGAAGGGAAGGTGAGTGGTGAGGGAATCCCTAAGCAGACCAGGGTCTCAAAAGGCCCCTCAAAATCGCAGGCGCTCCGCCCTAACTGGAGGAGCCCCAGTGATGCGATCAGTTAGGAGGGGACTATGTCCCGCACCCCACCCCCCACCCCCGCCCCCCCAGCTGCTCCTGGGGAGAAGGATGAGACCTTCTACTTTGGTCAAGAGCTGTCTCCTGGAACTGATCACAATGATTGACATATAGCTCCCTCCCAGGGGGACGGGAGACATCGGTCAGTGTAAGACATAACAAAATAGTAATAATTTATAAATTATCAAGGGTTCATGAGGGAAGGAAGGTGCGGGAGGCAGTGGAAAAATAAGGAGCTGATACCAAGGGCTCAAGTAGAAAGAAAGTGTTTTGAAAATGATGATGGCAAATAAAAAATTTTTTTTAAAAAGAAGAAAATGATGACGGCAACATATGTACAAATGTGCTTGACACAATGGATGGATGGATGGATTGTGATAAGAGCTGTACAAGCCCCCAATTAAAAAAAAAAAAAGTTGTCTCCTAATGTGAATGCGGAGGGTTGGAGTTGAGACTCAAAGCCCATGTGTGGACAATTGGATACCCCCCACAGAAGGGTTACAAGGAAGGGATGATTCAACCAGGGTGCAGGATAGCACTGATGAAACACACATCATTCCTCTAAATCCTGAATGCTTCCTCCTCCTCACCCCCCCCCCCCCCCCCCCCCCCCCCCCCCCCACCCTGACTCCTGCCACCACCACCCCTACCATGACCCACTTATACCTTACAAATCCAGCTAGACCAGAGTACACACATTGTACAGATAAGAGCTCTTGACAATGGAATTCGGCACAGATAAAACCCTCAGGAAGGGAACCAATAGAGAGGTCTGAGGGGCCGGCCACAATCCCAACTATGTGGACAGCCTCTCCTTCCACCAGAATTTACTTCAAAGGACAGCACTGAAGCTACAGCTCAGAGAGAGGAACATGTCTGATCAGAGCACATGGGAGCAAATGAAAGGGGAGGAAGAGAGAGTGGAGCACATCCTGGCCCACCACACCTTGAGGACAATATCCCTGCTCAGAGCAGCTAATGCACAGAGAGGACCATATGACTGGCCCCACTAGGAGACATATCCCTTACTGACCCATAACCCTACAGGGGACAACACTGGAGACATAGTGTGTCAATTTCACCCGATCTAACCCCACCACACAGAGGCAAAATGCTAATGGGCATGCAACAGAACAGCAAGGGGAGCAGAGCAAAGAAGTCCTGAGGGTGTACCAAAAACAGACTTTGGGGCCAGGAAAACACTCCTAAAGGTCAACAAACAGACCTCGAACTATTTACAGGCTTTTCTTTATAATTTTGTTGTTGCTGCTGTTTTGTTTGTTGCTTTGCTCTGTTTTGTTTTGTCCATATTATTATCTCTGCAGGTCTATCTAGATAAGCTAGGCAGGATAAACAATCTGGAGGAGAAAACAATGCGACTGAGGGTTCCGGGGGACTTGGGAGAGGGGCAGGTGGGGTAAAGGAAGTGGTGTTAACAAGCCCAGGGACAAGGGAATGACAAGTGATCTAAAATCGGTGTTGAGGAGGGTGTAAGAGGCCTGGTAGGGCTTGATCAAGGGCAATATAACAGAGGAATTACTGAAACCCAAATGAAGGTTGAACATGATGGTAGGACAAGAGGAAAGTAAAAGGAAATCAAGGAAAGAACCAGGAGGCAAAGGACATTTATAGAGGCCTAAATACAGGCATGTACATATGTAAATATATTTATATATGATAATGGGGAAATAGATATATGTGCATATATTTATAGGTTTAGTATTAAGGTAGCAGATGGACATTGGGCCTCCACTCAAGTACTCCCTCAATGCAAGAACACTCTGTTCTATTAA